TCTGGGACTTCTACCATAGGCTTTTGGAACACTCACTTTTAGTGCATTGAATTGCTGTATAATTAGCTCAACTATCCTGTGGTTACCATGCTGTGTCCTATCTATCCCAGCCTGGAAGCCAGAAAAGTTGAGCGAAGAATCTTTCCAAAGACTCCTTCTGACTGCAGCCATATAACGTTGCCAAGCCCCAGAACCAGGTGGTGTAATAGCAGTGTAACTAACAAGATTCTCAGATGATTTGTTGCACAAGTGATAAATAGAATACCGTTCCTTTGTCAGAGATACAGCAGTTAGACTGATATGGAAAGACTTCACTTTCCACTCAAGACATCTTCTCCAGTTTCCGAGGAAATGTATAGCTATTTGTGTCTGTTTGTTGGAATGGAAGAAAAATGATTATGTGAAAAAAGATGTTATTCTATGTGAAACGGGAAAAGAAAATATATAGGGAGAAATCGCATAAGATGATCAAAACATAGGGTGAATGTTTAAATGGTTTTAAAAATTTATACAGTAAAAGACACTTCACCACTTATGCCCCTCAGTATGTTCCCCTTTGCTTTGAACACACTTCCGTCATCATTCCTCCACTTTCCAAAGTGGCTCTGAAAGTCCTCTTTCATGTCTTTGTGAGGTATAAAAAAACCCAAAACAGCAACTGTTACTGCTAAGCATCATCCAATGGAAAGGCAGGATGGGCTCACAGCAACTTCATAGTGTATCCTCATCCACTCTGTCTACTGGATCTTATACCTTGAAACTTTTGGTTCTTCCCAAGAGTGAAGTGACTATAAAGTGTAAAAGGAAGGATTAAAGTCTTAGGAAGGATGTTTCATTAGTTGTTTTCATATTACTAAATAAAAAGCTGTGGCAATTTTCAATTTTCTTATTAATGGGTTTATTTAGCTCCCAGTTATAAAAGTTCCAATCAAAGAATGGAAGCCCCATTGCTTTGAGCTTCTTGCAATGGAGGCAGATAGCAATAACATGGAGCACATGATCAAAAGCCTGGAAAAGGAAAGAGGTGGATCATGTACTATATTATGATTCCTTAGCCCTCACTAATCAAAGAACCTACCCCTAGGCTCTGCCTGCAAAGACCCACAGCATCTCCAGTAGTATCAAACCTGGGGACAAGCCTTTGACACATAAACCACTGGGGAATACTATCCATGTTCAAAGCATAGAAGATATTATACAAACTAAAATAAGTGAATTTAAAGAATAAATTCATTCTTAGTAGCAATGAAATATCAGAGGACATTAGAAAGGATAAAATTCTTGATTTTATACTTTATTTGTATGAATTTATGATAACTTGAACAGTTTTAGTGTTTTAGGGGTCTCTGCTAATATTTTAAGAAAGAGAAGCCTTCCTGAGGATAGAGGAGGTCCATGGTAGAGCAGGGTGACAGTAAAGAATTTCAGAGCATTACTTGGGCAAAGCTGGGGTAAAAATAAGCTTATAGTATCAAGAATGTTTACAATATCAAGAAACAACAGAACCTATAGACAAGAATACAGAAGGAGAAAGAGAAGGCCCATGTTTTGACTCAATTTCCATCCCAAGATCCCTCAGGGAAGGGAAGCATGGCAGGATGGCAAAGTTTGAATGTGTACCCCAAAGTTCATTTGTTGGAACTTATTTTCCAGAATCACAATATTAAGAGTTGAGCTTTTAGGAGATAATTATTATGAGAGAAAATAGGTTTGGTGGCCTTTAAAAAGAAATATAAAGGAGTATTCATCCTTTCTCATCTTTTGTCCTTTTGCCATGTGAGGACATAGCAAGAATCACTGTCTTTGAATCAGAGCTCTCTCCAGACACCAATATCTTCCAGTGCTTTGACTGTCAGCTTTTCAGCCTCCAGAACTATCAGAAAGAAACTGCTGCTCATTCACAAGTGTTTTGTCAGAGCAACACCATCAAAGACAGAAATTGGTATCACACATAGCATGTTCATGCTACAAATACCTGGAATGGCAGAAGTGGTATCACAAGCAGGTAATGATCAGGTGGAAAATTTGGAGGTGCACGCTAGAAAAACCCTAGACTGCCAAGAACAGGAAATTAATGGTCTGCCAGTTAATCTTCATTGCCAATTTGCCTCATTTAAGAGACTCCTGAAGAAGTGATTAGACTTTGAGGATACCAATCCCCAAAATGGATTAACCCATAGCTGAATGGACTATTTGGGGGGCTACTTGGAGGAAATGGGCCCTGGAGGTGAGAACTTGGAAATCTGTCTGGTCCCTGGCCCTTCTCTGCTCTTTCAGCTCTGTGCTTCTTGGGTAGCATGAGTTAAGCAGCCCTCTAACAATGATGTTTCTGTCTTAAAACCAGCTGACCAGAGACTGAAATCCTTAAAGCCATATGCCAAATTGCACTTGTCCTTCTTTAAACTGTATATGTTTAATATTTTGTCCCAGCAACTAGAAAACTGACCAATAAAATATCAATACGAGAAGCAGCTGCATCCCCAGAGTTAGCACGAAGTTTGGAGTCTTGAGAATTAAAGTTATCTCTCTCAGTGACTTTAGACAATTCATTAAGGTTCTCAATATTCTCCAGGTTGCCAAGAAGATGGTTAATAGTAGTCATTTGTCATTTACTTATATTACTCTATAAATACAAGAAAGAATATTTATTAGCAGTGTAATAGTTCACAACCCTGCTCTAGTCATATTGCTTGTGTTATAATACAAAGGTAAATTCTAGGAAGGGCTCAGAAAGAGAAGTGCTGCAGAGAGACAATTAGTCATTTTAAGAGATGATTTAAATGATGTGATCAGAATAAAAATAAGGGCAGCACACATAAAGACAGTAAAGGCCACTCTATTGATGTCTTAGGACTGAGAAATATCTTTTTTGGAAACTGGAGGAAAGATAGCCTTTGTTATGAAGGGGCAAAACTTGTCTGGCTTGTATTCCTATCCCAACATTACAGAATCCAGAATACACATGCAATGAATTAAAATATTTGGTAAAGTTATCTTTAGTCAATATATTCAGGGTACTGCATCATCTCTGTAGACTGCTGATAGTAAAGTATAAAAGAAATGAACTAAGGACAGAATGTATAATGAAAAAGGATTCAGAACTTTTAAACAATTCTCAGCTTGGGCAAATGCTGAAAAGTTAAGTATAAAAACACCAATGGAAGCATTTTATGAGACTAGTATGGGCACAGAGATGCCAGATACTATCTCACAAGATAACAAAATATCCCTATGGTATTTCTGAGATCTTTATAACTGCCCCACCCATTGGTCCAGACAGTCAGAGCCTTTAGAGTAGTTTCAAACAGATGATCTAGGTTGCTTGTGGGACTTTAAGACTCACTGCACAGGGATGCCTCAAGTTCTTCTGAACCAGTGTGCCCAGTGTGGTTTCAGTCAGTGCAGAACTCCTCAGTTACCCATGCTGTTGGCTTAAGCAGGTCCAGTTATATGGCATCATTCTAGAGGGTATAGTGGGAACCCTGATGGCAGCCACATGTCAGTAACTTTGTAGATGCACACACACACAAAGACCCAGTAGAGACACAGTTATATATACCAGACTTCAAAGGATGGTTTGGAGAAGCTTGAGGTTCAGGCTGAGAGCTGCCACAAGAGTATCTTCACTCGCTCTGTATCTAGTGGAACTAGGTGGAAAGGTCGAGTCTCATAACCCCAGAATTACTGAGCCACTGGTGTGCATGTGAGCCTGGAGGAGCTATGGGCACCCAGTACCCATCCCTGAGAGCTGCAGTGTGGGCTGCACTTGGCAAGGAGTCGAGAACTTCCTGTCATATCCACTCCAATGTATCCACAAGCCGGAAAACGGAGTGAAAGAAAAGTATTCTTAGTTTTCAAGATTTAATGTTGCTTGCTTTTTCAGTTTTGGATTTACTTCGAACCCATTACCTTTTGCTTCTTTTCTCTTTTAGAATGGAAATACTTACTCGATGTTCAACTCATCACTATTTCAGAAGGACATGATTTTATTTCACAGGCTCACAGCTGGAGAGGGAACTTACTGCAGGATGAATTGAAGTCTGAGCCTCTCTCATGTCTGATTTAGATGAGGCTGGACTTTAGACTTCTGAGTTAGTGATAGAATGATGCGAAACTTTTAGGACTTGTCAGGAGAAATAGTTTGCTCATGGGAGGACATGAATGTTTAGAGGGGTGGGAGTGCTATGATCTCACTGTATTCCCACACATTACATATGTTAGAAATTTAATTGCCAAGAAAGAGAAATACAATTTGATGGTTTCTTTCTGCTCAGTGCAGACTTTTCAAAGGATTAAGTTAAACATTTTAAAAACTACTCCATATTTCTGAAACTATAATTTATCCTTTCTGCCTATACTTTATGAAGATCAAGATTTTCCTGTAGGGTCTTCTCTTTCCAAGGTGGCTTTACAAATTTGGGTAGCTGATGCTGCAGTAATGAAGTACTTGCTTTGATTAACCAAAAGTGAATCTTGGAAGTTAGGGTTTCTGCTACCCATGATATGACAGTAACTATTCCACATGGGAGCCTGCATTGTATAGGGTAATGGGCTTCACTAAGAAAGAACATGTGACAAAGCTTTCTTCTAGTACTGGTTAAAGAGATATCAGAGGGCATAAAGGGAAGACATTTTTTTTCTTCTAGCAAAGGCTAGCTGTGTACACTAAGCAAGACCTGGAATTCTCTGGGCCTCTGGAAGTGCTCACGACACCAACTCATTCTTGAAGTGATGCAGAGTTCACTTCTATGTCCCACTTACTAAGATTCCTAAAGAATCATAGGAATGCAGTGGAATTCTAATAAAACCAGAAGTCACTTTGAGGTCATACTCAGGTATATCTAGGTTCAAGTATAACTGAAATAGGCTAATCTAATCAGTTTCAAAACTGATAGCCTGCATTATCCAATACCTCAAGTTATTATTCTGATTTTTCTTTTCCTTCCCCTCCTCTTGTTTCCATGTCCAGAAACCCACAAGGAGAAATTAAGAGTATCTACCTTAGCTCTAGTCATCTGCTCAAAACGGGTCAGGAGGTCATCCACTTCTAACTGTAAGTCACTCTTATCTTTTTCCAGTTTCTGCTTGACCTGCTGTAGATTTTCTATCTGGCCCTCGAACTCAGCCAGGCTAACTGCATGTCTCTTTTTCAAAGAGGCAGACATTGCCTCATAGTGCTGTGTGGTCTTTTCCATGTCTTGGTGAAGCTTCTGAAATCTCGCTTCTTGGTTCTTAGTTATGTCCAGCTGAGAAAAACTGGCTCCTCCAGCCTCCTTCATCCTCTCATTCAAATCTTCTAGGTCTCGGGCAAGGTTGTCTCTCTCTCTCTCTACCCTGGCCCGAGTGATCTTTTCATCTTCCACCTTCTCCTTCAAATTCTGTATCTGATTCTGGAGCAACATATAATTTTGACTTATAATAAGTACATTTGATAAACATTCTGTATTCAAGAGATTTATTGCACTTATCTTTTCTTCTTCTCATGACAAACAGGTAAGACATTTTTTCATTCCCAAATTGTGATTAAAGAATATAGAATATGTGTACATTAAATCTTTTTGCCAAGTCAATCCAATGTCTGAATTAGAATTTGCATTTCTTCCTGATCTCTCAGTCCTTAGTGATAAACAACATCATTACATTATACATGGAGAGAAAATCTTACTAAAGAGCACCTCCCAAAGGAACAAGAAGCTATTTTTCAAACAAGAAAATATTTAAACATAATTTATAAAAAATAATGGGTGAATTTTATTTGAAAAACACTACTCATTGATAATTTGTCTATCTGACAGTCTCAGCTGTCAAGGACTCTGTAAGAAGCTGACTGATCAAATAAACATCAAATTCAAATAACTTACTTTTGAGGAGCATCAATTTAATTTTACACACAATTCTAACAAACTGAGTGATGTGGTTTTAGCCTGTAGGAGATTTCAAGCAGTAGGAGATTTGCAGCAACAAATTAGAATTGGTGGAGGATCAGGGCTTAATAATGTCAATATAAATCTGATACCATTAGAGGCACAATTATTAGAAAAGGAAAATTGGTAAGAATGCTCAGAGCCCAAAATCCTCCTAGCATTGGGGCAATTAGCACTACAAGTCTTGATAACATCATTGTACTAGAGCACAGTGAAGTCACTAATATTCATTAACATCATTTCATGTAACTAAGCATGTATTACAATGGGGAGGATGAAGGATACACTCTAGTTTATAATGTTTTCCTCCAATTAAGTAGGAACATCGTGGCCTAGAGAAAGCTTATACTTAAATCATATCAACTAGTCTGTAAGTTCTGTAGATGAAATATGACAGAGAGCTACATATGATTTCCACCTGCAAGTAAACGTGATCCCCTGACTCTACTTATCATGGATTATCACTCATAGGATTCAATGCATTTAGCACGAACAATGCTGTCCCTGAACCAAACATTTCTAAAATATTGCTTTGGAAATAATCTTTGGGGAAAGTTTTGAAGTAGTAAAATTTGTCTTTTGGATAAGTTGGAAGTAATTACATTTTCATTTTGGATAAAGTGAAGTGTCATTTGAAGATAAGCCTGATAAATATGACAGCCACTTGGTGGATAAGATTATTTCTGAAAATAAACCATATTCACAAAGCATGAAACTATGTTATTTGACTCAAATGTTTCAGGAATATCAAAAACAGAGTTCCAAAATAATACTGAGTGATGGTTATATTACTGAGACATTAACGCCCACTTGTACGTACACATGCTTCTGTGTATGCATAATTATTTTACATTTTATATTTTTTCATAATAAAAGTTGTGAAGTAGTATAAAATAGTCACATGGTCTAAAACTTATAGCTGCCAGTTACCAAATAATGGCTTAAGTCTAGAAGTTGCAATGCGATCACCCATTTTCAGCATAATTACCCTCAAATCACAAAAGTAATCATAAAAATTAAATTACCAAAAATGAGCACATACTATAGGTCATGCACTATTCTTACCACTTAAATGTATTATTGTATTTAATAATATTAGCTGAAAAGATGCCAGGATTAATAACTAAACATATCCATGCCCAGGATTTTAGCGCACTGCCAACCTTGTTCATACCAAACATTCAACAAATAAGCTATTTATTGCTATTATGCTCATGACTAGAAAATATAAGCTTAAAAGTAATTTCCCCTAAGGTCACCCATCTATGGAAGGCAGTTTGGTTTCTTAACCACTGCTCTTTCCTCCTCCTGTCTACAGTTGGGTAGAGGTCTCGGATACCTTGGCAGATCACTTGTCAACGGTGAGTCATCAATCATAGTTCATAGACTGAAACACAAATGCATGTAGAAATTTGAGAAATGATCACCTGAAGCTCTCTAATGATCTTCTGGAGCTGAGCCACCAGGCTTCTCTCATTTTCAACCTTTGAATTCATCTGACCCATTTCTAATTCTTTCCTGTTTAGGAAAAGGTATAAAGTGTAATTGTTCAAGAATAATATCACATTTAAATATTTTTAAATTACAGACATAACATATAAATACATTCTTGCTATAAAAACTCAACCATTACATCTCCATCTGATGTCTTCTTGGCTATTACAACCAATCCTTGTTATTTTCCTCAAGGGAGCCACTCTTATGTATTTGTGACACATCTCTCTAGATTTTTTTTCCAAGGATTCACATGGTTGTGTGTAGGTTCATATATGTAATTGTAGAAGTAGTTTCACTTTTTTTTTTACTTTCAGTTATATACCTTTGGAAGTATGGACCAACAATTCATTCTTAAATCAAACTTATTCTTTTCCAAATAATATATTGGAGAAGTTTCTGTGCTGGCCCACATATAGCTTTTTATTTCATTTAAAAGTTAACTATGATACTACTATGAGGACAACAATATGCAATGTATTAATTATTGTAATTGTCCTACTAACCTTTTTGAAACTGTTTTATTGCTATTTTATCTTTTTTCTCATTACAATTAATTTTGAAATTTAACAATAAAATAAAGTAAAAATTAACTATGATGCAGAATCCCACATTGAAGACCATCAGTAGTTTCTTTGTGAATTTCCCTACTAATAGGCACTTCGGTGTATCCTGCTATTTTGCTTTGATGAGTACCATTGTTGAAATACATGTTCCTTTTCAACACTTCTCTAGAGCAGATCCCAGGAAACTGCTGGAAGATATATCGAAAAACATTTAATACCCTGCCTTTTCCTCCCCAGTAGCAATGTGATATTATTTATCTGTATTTCGCTTTAATATCAGCATATATATACATATATTTGTATTTATCTTAGAGAAGAAATTAACATTTTGTTGCTTTGCTCTTAATGTCCTTGTGAACTAATGATATCGTCTTTCAAATGTTAGCACTTTTGGATAGCTAAACATCAAATGAACTACCTGTTTGTTCTTTGTCTATTAATTCTATCAGATTGTTCAGTTAGTTATTCGACAATGGATTTTCTGTAAATATCCTTAATATTTATATTTTCATATCTCCTGAACATGATACTCCCATTGTATAACTCGTCTCTACTTTTATGTTGGTTATTGACACAGAAATGTTTAAAAATGTAATGTAGTCGACTCTTTAATTATTTATGTCCTTGGTTTTTTGTGACTTGCTCAAGATAATGTGAACTCCCAATTTCCTGAAAGTATGCTATGTGTTTTCTTCTAATATTTTTACTTACAGTTTTACTTGCAATAAGGATAATTAATGAGCTATACCTTCCTAACAAATTCGAAGTTCAAAATTCACTATTTACTCTGGGCACAATGCTACACAGATCTTTAAATTTAATCATGTACAATTGAAGCTTTACTCATACTGAAGAGCAGTTCGTCATTCCCCTTCTTCCAGAGCGAGGCCGTAACCATTCTGACTCTTATTATTTTAATTACCTCATATTATTAAAATTGTGCAGTATTTATTTTTTGTGACTGGCTTATTTCATTTAACCCAACGTCCTCAGGATTCAGCCATGTTATTGCACGAGGCAGTTTTTTCTTATTTAAAAGATGATAATATTTAGTTCCATTATATAAAACAGAAACACATTTTGTTTCTGCTTTCATACTTCAATGGACAGTTAGGCAAATTCCATATCGTGGCTGCTGTATATAGCCTCCAATCTCCTACCAGGGGTGGGGCTTTATTTTCATACTAAATTCTTTATGTGCAGCTGAACTTTGTGTTTACAAGTAGAATGGAGCGAACACTTAGCTTTTACTTTGAAGGAAGTTAATAGCTAATAGTCTCAAAATCATTTTTAATAATGTTATTACTAATCTGAAATTTCATCTTTAACTCTACTGTTTCAAGTACCCCTATTTCCACGAAGAGAAAAGGTTTTATGTTGAAGTTTTAGCTGCTTCAATACATAGATTTGTAAAATTGAAACTTTTTGAATTGTGGCCTACAAAGAGCATCACTTTTACTCTGCTGATTGAAACATAATCTTCAAAATTGAGCATTAAGGGAGCTCTATGATTTTTTGGGGTTTTTTTGCCTTACACTACTCCAACATATTCATTAGTTTATATATTCATCCTTTTAAAAATACATTTTATTGGTACATTTTAGATATACATATTGTCAAGTTCTTAACACTAACGTACATTTTTAGAAGACTTAATAGTTGTAGTTTAAAGATTTTAACAAAGTCAGATTTTGAATATTTAATTAGAGGTATTTATTTTTGGTTTTTGAGACAGCGTCTCACCATGTAGCTCAGATTGGCCTTGAACTCATCATGTAGCCCAGGCTGACCTTGAACTCCTGGCAGTCTTCCTGGGACTACAGGTGTGCATTAACACACTTAGTTTGGATTTTGTACACTTTTATAAGGAGCTATTTATTGCAAATGATATTAGCATGAAAATATGAGAAAACAGTCATGAACTGACCACAGAAAATAATTTCAGGTTTTCCTCTCCACTTCACAATTTTAGTTCCTTCACATGCTGCTGCCCTCTGGTTAGAACCTCTTCAACTTTATAATAAAGCAAGAACAGAACCCTGTTAACAAATTCACTTTTTTAATTTTGCTTTTTTATTGCTTTAATTCTAAAATCTGTTATTCTATTTTTTATTACTTTCATTGAGAAACAAATAGCAATGAGACAGTTTTGAAACCAATTAGTAGGATAGTTTCAATAATTAATTAGTTGCATATTGTTGTATTCGTAGTGGTTATTCATAGTACAAGATGCAGACATGATATCCTGTCCAAACACTACTAGTACAAATCTTTCTTTTCACTGAATTAAGAGAAAGTAGCTGTATCTCTATCCTATTTTGTATATACAGATACAAAATGGTCCTTCCTTTGTATCCCCCCTTTTTTTTTTGGTTTAGTGTTGTCAGAGATGGGTATTCCATTGTCATTTAAATACTGTAGGTTCATGAATTCGCAAAATATTCCAATATAGTCCAGTAGCACATGATAGTAGCAGGTTATCTGTAGGACTAGCAACGTCAGAAGTTGTTGACTTGAGCCTTTTACAGCTCAGCATATTAATATGGCTTTATTTTTTATACCTCGTTTTTATACTTTTCTGCTGGATGGTTAAGACTAAGATAAAGCAAGACCTATATAACAAGAAATGAAACTTCTGTATTTAACAAGGTCAGTCAAATTCCTTCAGGATTTACCCTGAAACCCTGTACTTCAGTAGAGTAATGGACATTGCTTACCAATTTGCTCTCTGTGAAAGCCTGAGAGAAAGTTTTCTCACCATGTGACTCTCCTTAGGCACACTCTACATCATCAATGAAATTTGTTCTTTTGGCTTCACACGTCTTAGGTTTTCTGGTATACTCTCTCCAGCATGCATAGTACTAGGGCAATCTTGACCTTGGGCCCGGTGCTGTGGTACTGGCTGAGTCCTGCTCTTTGGTTATTTATTCATTCATTTTGGTGCTGGAGCGTGAACCCAGGTCTCACATGAGCTACCACTGAGCTACACCTGCAGCCCCTAACAGTCGGAACTATATAGAGGGGCTTAATAAGAGGTGGTGTAATTCTTTTCCCTTGGCTTTTTTGCCTTTAATTTAATGAAACTAATTTAGGAATGCTGAGAGTGACCTTCAACCCTGAAGTCTACAGTTAGAGATTTTAAGATATAAAGAATATATCAAGCTTGTGAGCAGATGTCATGGTGCCTGCCTGTATTCCCAGCTATTGCCAAGCCAAGCAGGAGAATCGCCTGAGCTTAGGAATTCAGAGCCAGCCTAAGAAATACAGTAAGACTCATTTCAAAAGAAAATGAAATAAAAGAAGAAAGGGGAAGATGGGTGAATAACTGAATATAGATTAGGCATAAAAGAACACATATGTCATACACACTAGGAGAATCTAAAATGATGCAGGCTTGCTATGTGTGGTGGCACAAGCTTGCAATCCCAGCACTCAGGAGGTTGAGGCAGAGGACTGCTGTGAATGTGAGGTCAGCCTGAGCTACATAAGTGAGTTTAAGGCCAGCCAGTGCTACACAGTAAGACCTGCCTCAAAAAATAAAAAATAAAATAAAAGACATTGGGAGTCAAATAGAATGCATACAATTGTTTTAAAAGTTGAAGATAACCAGGAGTACTGGCATGTGCCTGTAGTCCCAGCACTGTCTTAACTTAAATGACACCCCACAGGCAATTCACTCACTCCTATACCTATGAAACACCTACTGTGTGCCAGGCACTGTTATAGGGAATTATCAGGGAAGGACCAAAGTCTCTGCTGTTGTGCAGTTTATATCCATCATTTCAATTAAATTGTGCCTTTTTTCTTTCATGATCCTGAGGATTGCGTCCAGGAGCCCCTGACAGGTGAGTGCTTCACCAGTGAGCTTCCTGCAACCCCAAGTCAAGTTCCTCCAGGATGCCCTAGCTTCCTCCATAAAGAATGGCAATTTCATCTTTTGCAAACGCTTTGCAAGGTTAGCAACGAGTAGAATATTAGTCAAGTATCTCCAAGAAGCTACATAAGGGCAATACATGTACACAAACAAAATCAAGATAGAAACTCAAAATTTCTCACTTGATGTTCTTCTCATTTTTACTGTGAATCCCAATTACTGACATGTTCCCGTCCTTAAGCTTTATCTTATGTTTGAACCTCCCTCCCTACTTTCCCCTCTTTACTGACCTTATCTAAATAAGTTGGAAATCTTTAAGGGTTACTATCCCTACCCCTGAAAAGAACAAGGCAAAACAACTTCAGATAAACAGAAGACAAAGGAACAAGGTAAGAAAATCTATTCCATGAACTGGAAGAGCTGAGAGTGCTGCTATCTTTATTTGAGTTCCTTTGGATATAAAGAACCCATGGGAATATGTGAACTGACAGTGTCCCCAATTTTTATCATTGTCAATTTTTGCCTTTGTGTGTGTGTGTGTGTGTGTGTGTGTGTGTGTGTGTATTTTAGGGAAGGGTCTACAGGGTATTCAGTGATCTGCCTGTTTACAGCCTCCCAAGAGCTGGTGTTATAGACGTATGCCACCATGCCCAGCCTCCATTGCCATCTCAGTGCACCCTGGGGACAGGGCCTGCATGGCAGGTCTGGGGATCGAATCCCCAGCCCCTGTGCCTGCTTGCAGGCACTTTAATCTGCTGGGCTATTTGGCCATGCAGACCCCCTTTTTTGCCTAAATTTTTAAAGACAATTTTTAGGTAGTAAATTGCTTGAGAAAAATAAAATCCTATATAAAGATTAATGAAGCTCTATCAGCCAACCTATATTATTTAAGTGATCAAGGAGTATTTCTGGCTTCATATCAAGGTCAATTGTTTTCACACTGCCCTTGGTGTCATCATGACTAAAAGTGAAACGTTTTCACTTTTGACTAGTAGCCTCAGATTTCCAGTAATTAGTATGTCATATGCTTTATAACTTTCTTACCTGCTGGCCAAATACCTCCTAGCACTACTTTTTAGATTTATGTATTTTCTGTCTTTTTAATACACATGGGGTGAAAATCTATCTAAAATAGATAGATAGATAGATAGATAGATAGATAGATAGATAGATACCATATAATAAAGTCCAACAAAGAAAAAAATCTTCCCTAGGCCTTTTGTCTTTCCCTTAGGCCTCAAGATAGCTGGCCTGGCTTCTGAAATAAATGAAATGAGAGAGCGCTCCCTTCCACCTCCAGAGCTCCACATAGCAGCAAGACACTTACTTCCGCAGCTGTTCCGCTAGCTGCCACTGGCTGCGCTCCAGGTTCTCCACGTTTTCCTGGGTCACCTTCAAATCATCCTTCAGCTTGTGCTTTTCTTTTTCACAGTTCATTCTCACTTTCCTCTCCCGCTCACGGGTACCCTCCAGCTGACAAAGAGACAGATTATTTAACCAAATAAATACATAGACTTTATACTTTACTAATACAAGAGTAAAAACATAGATTCTGCAAATAACACCTGCTAACATAGGTACTTTAAATAAAAATTTCATCCATCAATAAGTTAGGCAAAGAACCTGCAGAAGACAGTGGTGGAAGAAAATTCTAGAGTTTATAGACTGAGTTCTTTCTAAGGACAAAACAAAGAACAAGTTGCCAGTTGTCTCCTCTTGGATCACTTTCCAGTGATGGGGATCTTCTTCACACAGCAGTTCATTTTACGGATGAATGAGTGCATTAATTCAGAAGTATTTCCTCATAAGAAGTACAAATACTCTCTGAAAATCCTATCCACAAGTCCCAGTTCTGCTTCCTGAGGCAACATCACATAAATCTGTCTTGATGTGAGAACCCATGCATATTGGAAGCCCTTCCAAATCCTGTGGGTGTCTTCAAACAGGTCTCACATGATTCCATGCCCTATTCATCTCTTTGGTATCCTCTTCTAGTTCAGAACATCATGTCACATTCTTTCTTTTTTTTTCACATTCTTTCTTTCCAAGACTTAGAATTTTTCTTCTTTTAATTATATCAAGATCCTTGGCATGTAATGTTTCATTTTAAACATTTCCCAGTGCCTAATTTGGTGACACTGAGTTATATTCACATTTCATGTTACCCCTTGCACCGCCCATTTTCAGAACTCTTTTTCACATGCAAAACAGAAACTGTGTACTCAGTATGCAAGAGCAGACTCCCCACCCTGCTTACCTCCATATCATGAAATCACAGCATTATCAGAACATCATCCTTCCTTTTAAAGCTTGAGTTAAAACTCTACTCTATGGATATATACCTCTACTCTATGGATATATCCATAACTTCTTCATTCATCTACTGACAGACACCTGGGTTCCTCCCACTCACTGGCTCTGGTACATAATATAAGAAGGTATACAGATGTTTCTTCAAATCCCTGTTTTAGACTGTCCTGCTTCAAGGTTGTATATGTGAGATTTTTAGACTTATGTGCAAACATGAGAAGTATATGATTTTTTATGCCTATTTTTAAGATATATTCTAATTTTTAAATGTTTTTATCATATTCTGTAGGGACATAAAGTTCAACATATCAAAACTTGATGAAAAATACCTGTTCTATAGTATGCCTAAGATGTTTGATATGCAGACAGATAGTGAGGTTAAGCTTAACAGCCTAAGTTGTTTCATAATAACAATAAGCTTGTCTTCTGGATGGTTAACAACCTAAGTTTGCAGACCAAAATTAGAGAAAAAGAAGGGCTGCAAGGAAAGCCAACATTTTGACCCTAACCTTCTAAGGTCAATTAAGACTCAGGACATATGAGAACTTGTACTGTAACGTCATGTAACTCGGTAGTGTCCCAAATTTTCTGATCAAGAAGATTATGGGGCCAAAGAGGAAAGTGATTGATGGTGTAGAGTGTGCCTAAGGAGAGTCACATGGAGAGAAAACATTCTCTCAGGCTTTCACAGAGAGCACGGGCTGTGACTCATCCACATGGCTGACACTGACAAAGGTTCTACAATCTGAGGGACAGGATCTCAGGATAAATCCTGAGGGGATTTCACTGACCTTATCAGACCCAAAAGCTACAACTCTTGTTGCATAGGTCCTGCTTTACCTTGGTCTTAACCATCCAGTAGAAAAGTATGAAGATGAAATATAGGAAAGAAAGCCAGGCTGTTATGTTGAGCTGTGGGGGACTCAGGTCAACAATTTCTGACATTGCCAGTTAAACAGAAGACCCAATGCTATTATGGGCTACTGGACTCTTTTAGAATATTTTGCTGAGTTTACACACCTATAATATTCAAATAATGGAACTTAACAAAAAAAGGGTATACAGATGAATGTCCATTTTGTATCTGTGTATTCAAAGTGGTTAGAATAAATACATAGTTACATTCTGTTAATGAATAGAATGATTTGTTCTAGTGGTGTTTGTAAATAGGATATCAAGTCCGCATCTTGTACAGCAATTAACCACTAAGAAGAATGTATGCAGTGTGTTAGTTACTGAAACTGTCCTAGCGATTTGATTTGAAACTGTCTCATTGCTATTTGTTTATTAATAAAATTATGAAAAAAAACAAATCCCTGTTTCAGTTCTTTTGAGTATATACTCAGAGGTGGAGCAGCTGAAATATATGATATCCCAATTGTTAATATTGTGGGAAATTGCCATAATCTGCTTTTCATAGAGACTGAACTATTTTATACTCCTACTAATAGTACAAAAAGGCTCCAATTTCTCCACATCCTAGCAATTAGACTTTCTTTTTATGCTATTGGCTATCCTAATGAGTGTGTGGTGGCAGGAAATTTGCCTTTTAACTTAACTCATTTAGATTTTCTATAGAGGGTATATTATGATTCACAGATTTATTTTTCTACATTAAACTTTTAAATTTTTCTGTTTTTTTTCTTTTCTATTGCTTTCCAACTTGCCATTGGTTAGATTAGGTTATTTATTTATGGGTCTCCTAAAAGATGTTGATACTTGTAATTCTAGTCTTCATATCTCTTAAGATTTTAGAGAAAATTTTTCTGTCTTCTCTTTTGCTTCTGTTATGTTTTTTTTAAATTGAGACATTATAATAGTGCATCTGTAGGAGTCATAGTAATGTATATGCATATAATGTTTAATAGTAAAATCAGGGTATTATGTCCATTTCTTCAAACATTTTTGTGTATTGAGAAATTCACATTCTCATAATCACTTAGAAGATATCATGGGTTGTTTTAACCTCGTTACCCTAGTACTCTCAAGAAAAACCCAAAGTGATTCCTGAACTCTGTCTGTGTCTTGGCATCCCGCACTAAACCTCTTTCCACCTCCCCTCACTCCTGGCCCTCTCTGTATCTAATGACTACTGTTCCTTTCTAGTGTTCTACAAGATTGATTTGATCATTTCCACACAGTTGATATGACAATTGCCTTTCTGTGCCTGGTTTATTTTATTTAATACAATGACTTCTAGTTCTCTGTTGCTGAAAATGGTAGGGTTTCATTCTCTTCTATGGCTAAATAATATTGCACAGTGTAAATATACCAAATTTCTTCATTTATCCATCCACTGAAGGACATTTGCACTGATTCTATATTTGAATAGCAGTGTGATGAACATATATCTTTAGCACAAGTATCTTTTAATAATATTATATCTTTTGTAATGTATGTAGAACCAAAGTTCCCGGACCATATGATAGTTCTATCTTTTGCTCTTTGAGGAATCTCTACACTGTTTCATACAGTGGCTATACTGATTTACATTCACACCAATAATGTATGTGTTCCCTTTTCTCACCATCATCACTGGCACTTGTTATTCTTCTTCTCTTTTTGTAATAGCACTCTAATATGATGAGAAATCTCATCGTCATTTTTCTTTCACTTTTAGTGAAATTGGCATTTTTTATGCACTTTTTGGCCATCTGTATGTCTTCCTTTGAAAAAGATCTGTTTAACTCTTTCATTCATTTTTTACCTGTTTTCTTGTTATTTGGTGTTCAGCTTCTTGATTTCCTTTTATATACTGGATATCAATCCATTGGTTGGATAGTTTGATAGCATTTTCTGTATATTGTCTTATTTCTATTGATTACTTCTTTTGCTATGTGAAAGCCTCCAAGTTTGGTATTATCCCATTTGGCTGTTATTTCTTTTTAAAATTTTTATTAGTACATGTTTGCAGAACATAAAGTTTACATTCCATATGCGATCTGTCTTAAAAAATATCATGGTTTTGCAGCATTTTTCTTTCTGATGGCATAAGCATGCTCACTCTAAGCCTAGCATCACCTAATTACATGCCATTAAACTTTGCTACTTTTTGGCTATCACTGTGTGCACACCCAATTCTTCACAGCCTACATGAACCTATAAGCCCATCCAAGGTCCCATCACCCACAGCAACATCTTGGTGATCTAGCAATGGGATATAAAAAGTGGCACAGAGATTGCAGGGACATTAGCTCTTCCTCTGAACTACAGAAGATGATCTGAGCCCAGGACCTAAGCCTGTCTCCATGTCTATGACTCATCAAGACAACCTCAGAGGGGGAGTATGGCTCCCTTAACTCCCTATGTCAGGCATGGGGAGAATTCCAATGTCTTCTCATAGGTAAGGCCAATGCCCTCTTTCAGCAGGAAGTAGCTATAGAAGACATTCTAGCCTTAGCACCCCAATAGATTTTCAGGGGTGGATAACATAGTACAGTTAGGACCATAGGAACAACTCCCTCCACTCACTTGAACCTGGACAATGTCCCAGGGGCAAGCCCCCAAGCTTTATCCCAAGGTCTACTACCCTCAGGCAGAGATAAGAAAAACAAACACCCCTGGAAAATCCTGAAGTCCCAAACCAGGACACAGGAACACCAGATTCTCCAACCCCTCCTACAATAACCTTTCTCTACTTGGAACTCATTAAGTGTTCATGCATATGGGCTGCATCTCACATATGCAATGATAACAGGGTCAGTTGTAGAAAAGAAAATGTGCGGTAGACACAACTGACCTGACACAGATCCCTGTGGGTCATGCTTTCAACCATGCTCTTGAAGCCCCACTGAGAAGTGCCTGAGACCCAGTACAACACCATAAATTCTGAAGCTCGATGCCTCATGCCATTTCTCTCCCAGCATGAGTCCACTCACTGAGCATTCTATCACCTAATTATACTTCATTAAACTTTGCTGCTTTTTCCTTTAGGAAGGAAAAAAATCATTACCTGCACCAATATCTTGAAGTCTTCAGGATATACCTCACATCCAGTTTTGTCTAGACTAGTGCTGCCAACAGTGATACAGGTACTAATTTAACAAGAAGCTATATATTTGTTAGAATAGGACTATTTGTTTTTTGGCATGTTTCCTTTCCAGCAATGGAAGACATTTCCCATAACTAGCAAAAAACTGTCAAGTAAATTAAATGGGTAAAACTTGGAGGTATGAACCAATGCACAGTCTGATAACTAGCCTTATCTGTTGCTACTTACCTCTTCTACTTGCTGTGTCAGCTTCAGATTTGCTATGCTCAGGCTGTTGAGTCGCTCCTCCTCTGTGTTCAGGTGGTCCTGAGCCTGCTGACAGGCTTCCTGTGCATCCTTGGTTGCTCTGTTAAGTTTGCTCACATCCTCCTTCAGAGAGTCCAGCTCCTCGGTCAGATTCTTGACCTGTAGAAAGCAGATGAGGACAGCTTCATTACCAGCCACCACTGGAAGGCTGGGTAGAATGCTAAGGCTTGTCTTTTCTCTTCCACAGTCCAAAGACCCATGGGGCATCCAGTGTCATCAAGAGAAACATTTTCTCAAATTCCTGATATACTTTTTCAAACTACAAATTCACTCTTTCTTCCATAAAAAGTGACCTATTACTTGGAATGACCAGGAAATGTGATACTCTGGTAAATCAAATATTATCCATGTTGTTGATTATATGGACAATTTTTAAAGCATCAAATTATTGCACACTAATAATAATAATACATTTAGGTCATTTTGCTTTCTTTTGAGGATTCAGGGCATATGTCTTGGCCATCTTGTACTTCCCTCTATTTTGAGAAAGTGGGTTCTAGCACACAGTGCTTACAAAAGCAGAAGCCAGCTATGTTTGGCCCGTGTACTTATTTTCTTTTCAGTGTATCAGTAATACAAGAGCTGTTACTGCATTATTTGTCAAATTATACTTGCATCTTAGAGATTAGTTGTTTATCAAATATTGGATTCAGATGCTTCATCAGTGTCAGTTCACATATAGATGATTAACTTAAAACCCAGCACTAAAAAGAAGTAAATGCTGAGCTCTGTACCAGAATTTCAGTGGCACTGTCAAGATCAAACTCCGAATCATGGGCGGAGCAGGAGCTACAGATGCCGAAGCACGTCTTAGGAAACATCATGTTCACTGTGGATCCAAAAAGGATACTTGCAGGACTAATGAAACCATTTTTATTCTTCTATGAGATTTTATCAGGCAAGAGATTTGCACAAGTGAAGCATTTCATTTGGAAGATTTATGGGCTCTATAAATTCAAATTAGAAATTCAAGTTAGGACAACACAGTTCCTCAGGCCTTTCTTTATACTATTCTGATCTGATTCCTACTCTGAAAAATTGCAAGCCACTGTATTAATTAACCAAAACATAGCACTTTTGGTACCTAATACTAATTTGAGAGTGAAATTTAGGCATCTAGGCCTGCCTAACATCTCTGAAAAAGTACCTTGTGCTCCTGGGCGTGCTTCTCCTTCTCTGACTTCGCCAACATTGTTTCCAGGTCATCGATTTCTTTCTTCAACTCAAAACATTCATCTTCGAGTTTCCGCCCCCTGGCAGTCAGCTCAGAATTTATCTCCTCTTCTTCCTCCACCCGCCTAGACAGCTCTTTGACTCTGGCCTCCAGCTGGATCTTGGATTTAATCAGCAACTGGCACTGCTCTTCAGCATTTGCCAGGTTCTCTTGCTCCTGCGATGATGAGGAGAAAATTGTTGCCAACAGCTGGAAGTAATTTATCAGTTAGTTGAAAACGCAGCTTCCTACACTGAAAAGAGATAATTGCCTGCCCTCTGCCTGACACTTTCACCTACTTTCCTAGGTAGCTGAAATAATATTCCCAGGTCCCCAATCCTATTGTTGAGAAATGGAGGAGTTGCTTCTGTTTAGAAGCGATTTTAATCTTTCAGGCCCATTTAGTAGATTAAATGACCTCCTCTAAAGGACTTAATAGAGTCCTGGTGGCCTAAAGGGGCTAATGTGCCTCCAAAACTCAGTGCTAAGTTGCTTAAATCACAGCACCTAGAAGAACTGACATAGGCACCTAGTTTGAGGCTGATCCCTGCTTAAAATCTAGTCTTTTGAGACATTGATGTTCCTGTACACAATGTAATATTTAGATCATCTTTATAAGTCTTCTGGTGCACTCGCTTTAAATAAATATATGTATCATTAATTGAACTGAACAATGTATGTTTAGACACAGGCTGAGCATATAATTCATGAGCTTACTTGCTCACCACTAACTAGACTTCACAATTATTTTATTTTTTTTAAAGTATTTATTTACTTGGTACAGTGTCTCACTATGCAGCTCAGACTTGCAGTGATTCTACTGTCTCAGACTCCCCAGAGATGGGATTACAGGCATGCACCACCATGCCTGGTTTTGGTGGCTGTTGTGGCATGCTATACTGGGGACCAAACCTGGGTCCTTGCACTTACCAGGCAGGTTCTTACATCACTGAGCTATCTCCCTAGCCCTTTCATTATTACTTTCAACAGAACTTTTGCCTAAATGATTCTCCCAGCAGTAAATGTCACAACTTCCATGCACAAAAAATAAAATATTCTTTCCTTTTAACTTTTCCCAGGTGCTACCTCCAAATCCCCCCACAAGGTATCCATTGTTTCTGGGTCAAGGAAACAATAAAGTCTTTTTTATAAATTATAGAGCACGTTTCACAATTTTGAAGCTGTAACTTGTCTTCTTTAAAGGATAAATAAATATCTTTTGTGACAAAGTTTTTAAATACTCTAGGTCTGATTGAAATATAACCTTTAACAGCTCTTTGTTTTCGTTTGCTTTTTGTTTCTTTTGCGTATCAGGAATCAAACTCAGGATCTTGCATTTACCAGGGGGGCGCCACACCACTGAGCTATATCTCCAGCCTTCAACCCATCTTTGTTATGGATTGTATAATGTATGTCTCACAAAGACCCACGTGTTAAAAGTTCGGTCCTCACATGGCACCATTAAGCTGTGGTGGCACCTTTAATAGGTGGGATATAATGAGTTATTTAGGTCCTTGGGGAAACACCCTTCCAGGAATAACTGGATGCTAGTGCCATTCTCTCTCTTTGCCTCTTGGTCATGCCATCAGTGATTTGCACTACCTCCAGCTCCCCAACACTGCACCCAGCAGCCTGAAAGAAGCTTAAAAGCAGTGCTCTGTTTCATCATGGGCTGAAACTTCTAAAACTGAGTCAAGTAAATATTTTCTCTTTATAATTTAGTCATCTCAGGTATCTTGCTATAATGATGGAAAGTAACTAATGTAACCCTCATCTTCCATCTCTAGACTCTGTCATCCTTCCACCACAATGTGCCAATTTGAACATTTACCAGCTATTTGAATTGTTTAACTTGCATGTGTCATCACAGCTCAGACTGGAAAGGTGTGACTGAGATACAGACAGCCCAAAGAGGACCCACAGAGCCTGGAGAGCATCTGATGTGCCTGAGCTGCTCAGCTTACCTTCTCTGTCCAGCCACATGGTCTTCTGGCCATGGCTGTTCTCCATTTAGCTGCACACACTTAGACCCTCAGGTAGACACTCAGTCACACAGGCAGCCCACTGGCCCTCATGGCAGTCCATATTTACGCCAAAATGCACAGTGGTGGCTGTATGCCAGTATCAATCTTGATTATTTAAATTGTTTACACAAAGACCACAAGATGCAACTGCAATGGAATTCTGCTGGATTGGACTTAATGGAGCCTGAAAATTGCTGCCCCCTCCCAGCCTGAATTATAGTGTCGCCATCTTGGGCTTAATTTTTCCCTACATTATGTCAGCTAATTGGATGAAGGGGATAATAAAGATAGAACACCAAACTTCTGGATTCTACCTAAAGAATGATTTTCTATACAACAAATAGGGTTCAAAGGAACACAGATGGATAGGTATATAAAAATACATCTCCACACGTGGTCTGCCTAATCAAAATGTTTAAGAATGAGGTCTAAGCATCATTTCTTTTAGTTTCAAATGTTTTACAAATGTAATGACACAAACTCAAAGTTGAGAACTGCTCTTTTATGAACTCAATTATTAAGGTTAATATGACCTAAGGAAAAAGTAAAAAGACAAAAATGAGGAAATACAAAGCCAGGCATGGTGACATACACCTGTAAATCCAATTCCTGGCAGGTTGAGGCAAGAAGATTGCCATGAATTCAAGATCAGCCTAAACTACTGTCTTGAAAAAAAATTCAGAAAATGTAATTAGAAACATATTGAAATAATGCTGAAGACTTCACTCAAGATTTTCTCAGAACTAACATTTTATGCATTGATCTGATAATGGTCACTCAAAATGAAGATCAAGAGCTTCCTGGGCCCATGATAGATTCTGCTATTCTATAGTAACCAGCCATCTGATAGTTTGACTCTTTTTCATGGACATCCTGCCCATGAAATCACTTCATTATGAAGGAAGGTGTCTTCTCAAGCTTTTCCACTGTGTATGCTTGAGGATAACCTATTGTATTTGAAAAGCTCCTGCTTCCACTTGTTTTCTTTTCTTTTGCAAGTGAATACTAACTGTTAAAGAAGGGCCCATGATTAAAACCAGGATGTAAAGAGCCTGTGGTGGGAGTACTCACGGCCTGGAGCTGACACAGCAGGCCGTGCTTTTCCTGGCTCAAGGAGGCTTGCTCTGCTTTCAGGTCTTCTCTCTGAGATTCTGATTTCTCCAGGGCTTTCTGCAGCTGTGCATGCTCCTCCTTCAGCCTGGCTGTTTCCTGTCCCACTCCCAGAGACTTAATAAGGGGCTTGGTTTGGAAGAAGAGCTTCATCCAGGTCCAGTTCTTCACAGCAATGAATGCTCTTATGTTCCACTGGATCAAGAGAATTGCATCCCTGAATCAAGAGTGAAAAAGGGAAAGTAACTACTTTCCCTTAGATCATCGAGAAGAAAGATTTATACTAATAGTGTTTAGACAAGATATCATGTCTGCATCTTGTACTCTGAATAACTACTATGAAGACAACAATATGCAATGTATCAATTATTGTAACTGTCCTACTAACCTGTCATGAAACTGTCTCACTGCTTTTTCTTTCTCAGTAAAATTAATAATAAAAATGAAAAAAAGAGCGAAAAAATAAAAATCAGTGCAGACTATGAAAGTTATTTGCATAATGAATATCCTTAACAAGGACACCTTTCTAAGAGCCACATACATTTTCATTACTCTTCAAACCACATCTTTATCTGGGTTCCCAGTTGATTCTGACAATAACTCTATGTAGAATCTCTCAGTCTAGCAGTATTATGGACTAGATGCCTGGAAAATAGTCCCATCACAAACATCTTCTACATGAGAACTAAACCTTATAGAGAATAAGAAATACAGAGGAAACTAAAAACCATAAGTAGGGAACCACTCTTGATATTGTAATGGTTTGTATTTTCATATCCACCTAGGTAAAGAGGCAAGGGAGAGACTTTCAAAGATTTGCGCCTTTCATGAAAAAGGACAAACTACAATAATCACATAGTAAATTGAGGAGCAACTATATTTGAAAAAAAAAAAACTTTAAAATGGTAGAAAGACCTAAATCTGAGAAAAACAATGATTTAAATCATTAAGTATAATAGATGAACATCTGCACGGGGTTGGGGGGAACTCCTGATTTAAGAAAAGATTAAAACCCCATCCGCAGGAAATAGGTTAGACATAGTGGCCCAAGCTTCAGGATAGTGCCTACAATACAAGCACAGTTACTAGGCATACACCACTGCCAGGCTAGTTTCATGATGCAGGCTAATCCCCAAGGACCCAGCTCCAGACTTGCTTATATTGATCTAGGCCCAAGGCTCACCACTGGGAAAACAGGCATCAACAAACTCCCCATAAACATAGCTTTCAAATCCATCATGACGCCTGTACAAACCCAAATACCAAAACTAACTAAAGGAATATATTTCCTGGCTCACTCTTGCAATGCACTATTATACCTGATTGCACTGAAACTGACCCCAGGCCAGCATGCACTAGGACCACAGCAGCGATTATGACCCTACCACTTGGCTTGTCCAGAATCTCAGCCTGAAAGAATTAGTGAAGCTTTGCCTGTCGCAGCCTCTTTACAAAGAATGAAAGAGATATTTCTTCAATCGTGCAAAGATACAGCAATGCAAGGATTACGAATTAGGAAAACAGGGCACCAATGAAGTAACAAAATCCAGCTTCAGTAACTAAACTTAAAGAATTGGACAAACGTGACCTCACAAGATCAGACTCCAGAGGGTCCGACACAGTTTAAAGATTCTTAATATGAAGGCAAAATACATGGATACTTTTGATGGGGGACGTCTAGGTTTCTTTTTTAACTTTAAAGAAAAAAAAAAAAAACAAGATTTCAAAGCAAAAAATAGGTGAATAACAATAGCTAATACATTGCAAAAATGAAAAATTGTCTAAATTATATTAACACAAACCTTTCTTTACAATGAACTAAGAGGAAACTAGTAGTATAACTATCTCTTTTTTTTTAATTTATTTATTTATTTATTTATTTGAGAGAGAGAGAGAGAGAGAGAGAGAGA